ACAATTTTATAATGAAAAATTTCCTTCCTTGAGAAATGGACATCATTTGTATTGTGTATAAAATAGCAAGTCAATGGTTCGGCTTCAACGGAGAGCCCTTCAGTCAGGGATGGGCAACTTAAATGACAGAAGGGGACACAATTTTTTGTTGACTCTACCAGAGGGCCACATAGTGCTGCACACTTACCCAGATGTAATAAAGCTGTCATTTTAAAAATGCTTGTGTAAGTTTATTATACCAACAAACAGTGCAGTAATTTAATATATTTGATGCTCAAATGCATTTTTACCAGTTGTACTCTTTAAGTATGAATACAAAATGTTTGAAGTGAACAAATAACAAGCACTTACTTTCGCAAACTGAAGTGCAACAACGCAAGACGCCATGAGTCCAAACACCTATGTGGTTGTGGTAAAAGKTCACTGCTTTTATGCACGCAACTTCTGGAAACTTCTCATATTTAGCTTTGTGCAACGTGTTGTAGTGGTGACTTATTGTAAAATCTTTCATGGCAGACAGCGTCACTAACAAGGTTATAATAGTTTTGAGTTTTTCATTATAGTGTAGCTTTATTTTATTGTGACTTTATTCTTCTTTGAATTCAGTTTGTTTTAATTAGTTTTTAGAGCAGATTTGCTAGTTTTTATTGGTTATTATAGAATTTTTAATGCTTAGTTTTAGTTTAGTTTTTATTAGTTCTAGTACTAGTTTTTTTTAAATAGTTTTTTTGCCAATGCATCCTAAAGCTTGTTAGGCCGTTCAGCTGGGTCCGCTGTACGTTAGAGTGACTAAGTCCCAGGACCAATTTGTCAGCAGCTTCCTGTGTGCTACCCTGCCTTATCTCGACTGGAGGAAATCCAGTCTACGTTGTCACAGAGAGCGTTTGAAACCATTAGCATGCACCCTTCCTGAACTGCAGCTCCTCTCTCAGGAGTGAGTTAGGCAGCAGTGAATAAACAGTGCATTTTTCTCAGCGTCTGACAACATGTAATAGAGAGTCTTGTGCCAAATGGTTCGCTGTAGGAAATGTAAAGCTTGGCAGACCTCGTGATCGTACAGCCTGTTGGCGGATTCAAGAATGTGACAGAAGGAATCGTGACAGCCTCTAATTGAAAACAGACTGATTCTGGATCCTAGCATGGGAAGAAATAAAATCTCTTAACTCCAACATGATTGTTAGAGTTTAATAGAAATGGATGTTGATGTCAACATCTTTCTTGTTGATTTTACTGCTTTRGACCTACCAGGAATTAATCCGCTGACATCGCACTTTATTACACGCTTTGGCAGCTGCCTCTGCTTTTATGGTTTAATCCACTGGAGTGGATGTTAGAAATAAAGATGAGAAAATTTGGACACTTTTTTAAAATATATTATTTATCAGTGTTGTTTTTATTAACCTTTATTTAACCAAGCAAATCCCTTTGAGATCACAGGCCTGTTTTGCAAAGGAGGCCTGGGCCTGGAGGCAGCCTAATATACGWGTTTCTTTGTTTGTGGGAGGAAACCAGAGAAAACCCACGCAAGCAAGAGGAGAACTTGCAAGCTCCACACAGAGAGAACCCAGGTTCAAACCCAGGACCTGCTTGCTGTGAGGCATCAGTACTAACCACTGATCCATCAGGCTTTTAGACTCGAAAATGCTCTGTCAGAGGAGAGCACTTTCGACAACTTAGAGACATCCATGGTGCACCGAGAAGTTTTTAACTGGCTAATTTGAGAGAAAATTGTGACATAATATTTATGCTAAAAATACAGGCAATATTAAAGTACCTGTGATGTCAGTTTTTTGTATTAAATATGAATACATTTTTTAGAAAGATAACATTGATAAAATGTTGCTGAAAGAATTTCATGTCGCTGAGATGAACAGTTGTTGAGATATGTGCCTGTGAAGTAACAGGAAGTGATGTCAAAGGGGAATGTCTGAATGTGAAAAGAGCATTTCTGCAACAGCCAACAACCCAGACTGTAGAGAAGAATCTGATGTTTCTTAAGATCATTTTGAGTCTCTATCAGAGAGAGATGAAGACGAGTCAGAGTTCAAATAATATTGTTTCAATAAACAAAGACCAGAGAGTTTTGTTTGTTAAAGAGTTCCCCTTTGATGTCACTTCCTGTTTCACTTTGGCTGAGCCAAGTTCATAAAAAAATATAAAAGTTATGGGACAAAACAGGTTAATCGAGTGTATTATTTCAACTTTCTTAAATATAAAGATCTTTTCTTTGAGTTTTTGTATTTGAAGAATATACATGTCACAGGCACTTTAAGGGTAGATCTAAACTAATATTAGGAACTGACAATGACAAGGAAAACAGGAAGAAATAAAAGGTAAGTGTGTTTATATAAAAGGTAGGTGGTGCCAKTATTTACAGTGACAGTGTGTGGAGAGAGAGGGGTAGATGGAGAGTTAGAATATTTTCAGTTTTCAAGAATTGTTTGTGATAAATTGTTCTTGTCTTACAGATGTTGCAAAGCAGACTGGCTGTGGGGGAGGGCAAGCTGAGTCCGGAGAGGTGAGGCGGGTCTGTGTTGGAGGATAGTGGCTGGGCAGAGAGGTGGGCAGATGATTCCTATGGAGAGGTCATCCAGAGGCAGGTGAGGAGAAGATCCAGCCAATGATAGCAGTGGTAGAAGACTCCATAGGTTCATAAGGGTGCAACAAGGAATTCTTGAAGACAAAGGGTAATTCACAAGTTAGGCCAGTGGTGGGCAATCCTGGTCCTTTGAGGGCCACAGCCTTGCATGTTTTGCTTGTTTCTCTCATCCAACACACCCGATTTGAACGAATGTGTGATTATCAGGCTTCTGCAGAACTTGGAAGAGGTGATTCAATGACTGAATCAGGTGTTCTTGAGCAGGGACTAAAGTAAAACAGGCTGTGGCCCTCCAGGACCAGGATTGCCCACCCTTGAGTTAGACAAAAAAAATCTTCTCAGGAAGCTGTACCAAGGTTAAAGAATGTCCCAGCAAAGATCTGTTCTCTTCCAGGAGCTTAAATACCTCCGAACCTTCATAGTGATGACTCCACCTCTGTCAGTGAGGGTGCTGCAGAGGAAGGTGGTGAGTGGATATCATCAATGAAATATATAGTACAATGTATTGCAGATACCATGGCAAAACAAACAATCAAGCAAAAAAATCTACAGAATTCCAAGTCCCATTAARCAAATCTGAATAAAAACCATTCATCATGAAACACATACAAACAGTATGATAAGATTACTGGGACTTACAGGAGACTGGAAGACATTTAAACAGAATACCAAAACATGAGGGTGGGAAGAACAACAAGATGGAATACAAAAGATGAAAATGTAATTATCGATTCAACATGACACTCGGGTCTCAACTACAACTTATACATAGACAAGCATCCAACAGGAAAATGTTCAAATTGTAACCATCTGGAAACATTAGAACATGTACTGCTACACTGTAATGCATACAATACCCAAAGAAATAATTTATTTCAATTGTTAAGAGAGGAAAAACATCAGGACTTCACACTAACAGGACTATTGGAAGATAAATCAACTAATAAACACAATAAAGTAATATCA